AAGCGTCTCAAATAGCCTCTGTTGAGGAAACCCTACGCAATGTATTCTTGTGGTGGAGGTTCTTTCCCACCAAAGTGAGAGAACGAAGAGCCAATATTCGGGGCTATAACCGGGTTGGTGGATCATTGGCTGTCCACACGAAAGTGCATGGTTAATGGTTGTAACAACTGAACTGAACTGGCTGTTCACCCAGGGGAGTCGGCCAAAAACCCTGATTCCAAACCTAGCAATAAGAGGCGTGCGAACCAAACACACACAAACACACCTTCCTGGTTGTGGCAATGGTTATTGGCTCAATAGAGCATCAAGGTGTGTTGGGCACCTGTTGTGTAAACTTGTGCTCGATCGGGTGTTCGCAAGTTGTACAATCCAGTCAAAGACATTCCAAAATCGTCACCTTTTTCACGTAAACATCCTATTATTCCGTCCTATTCCACATCAACTCCACGGTTACGCAACATACACTTGGATTATTCACTCTAAGTGTTGAGTATTTCAGTTATTGAGAACTGAGGTATGATGATCCCTCAAATAAAAAAGAAAGTTGCTTGGTTCACCGTGCAGTATTGTTTCTTTTAAAGGTGAATGAGTGCACTGTTGTTTAGCGCTTACTTCAAATATGCTTTGGTCCAAAATGGTTCTGCTTTAGCTTTCTCCGCATGTCGCAAAATCGCTCCACGGATATCCTTCTCCGCTCGCTCCTCAGCTTCGTTCCGTTGCAGCACAATCTGCTGGACCATATATTGATGCAAACTGCCCACGCGATTGCCCAATTTCTCCTCAAGTTTGGGGACGCGCAATCGACACTTTTCATTCTCTGCCTGATTGGCTGCCTGACGCTCGGACTGGGTGACCGCGTTTGCGGCAGCCATCGCTATTTGGGCCTCGATTTGCGGAGCGTTCAGCAGCTTTTTGTTTTTTCGTGCTGCCCGTACAGACTCTTCGTTGTACATAAGTAGATACGGTTTCACATAAGCCTCACCGGCACTCATATGTCGTCGGCTGGACGATGGCTGTCGTCCGACGCACATCAGCGCTCCATTGTGACTGTAACGAGGATCGTAGCGCACATTGGCCGTGCCGTCGGAGGAAGCGAAGAACACTTGATTGATTCGATGATGCCATAGTACACGAATCACACTACCATGTCCCGGATGAACTTTATCGATTAACTGATTACAGAAAGGAAAGAGAGAGGGAGATGAATCGAAAAGATGAAAGAGAAATTTTGTGGCATTGAGTTGTCGACGAATGAATTTCACGAACAATACGATATAAGAAGTAAGTCGTTGGAAAAAGGATAGAACCTTTAAAAACGATTTAGATTTTTTTGTCTCATGTGACTGACAAGCTTGTCGTTTAAATGTTGTTTTAACCACAGTCGACACAGTAAGGAAACGCAGTGTGCAAGATCAAGGCATAGAGAAAGCATACTCGATGGAAGGAAACTATGAGTACCGAATCGGTTCGCTCAACAGAACCCATATACGAACTATAATCACCACAGGGAAAAATAGACCCCAATGTATGTAAGGTAAACACAAGCAGGATAGAATGTGAGCCCACTACGTGGAGGACAGAGTGCATCACTGTGGCTAATACATAAAGTATAACGGTATTTCTAGAAGCCGCTTAAATGGGTCAGATATAGGTTAAAATATGAAAACAAGAATGGTACGTTAACCAGCTCTCTGTCTAATTCTTCAGTGTATAGACTAAACTAGTTACAACATTATTTACAACTTATTTTAAGGGAAACAGCTCTACTTTTCTCAGTCCTTCGATGTAGTTCTTTACATTTCGGTTCCATGTCACCTGTGGATCTCCAAGTGACTTTCCATAGCTCAAACGGCAACTGCAAATACGGCACGGTATGATAAACGATTAGGTATTGTGCGTGATTTGCGCTCCAACTGCCAACGTAAATTAGTTGGGACGACCAATATTTCATCAGAACGAATAGCAATATGTAACTTCTTACTTTGCTGCTACTAGCTTTTACGTATCGCTCAAACAGTAAGGAACTACTTGATCCTCAAGTTGGGCAACGGTTTCCGTAGATGACTTCACTATCTTCGTGCCACACATTAAAACTGTCATTGGACGTGCTACTTTTTGAATTTAACAAAACGTGACGATCGGAATACAGGTATTCAGTTCAGTGCAAGCAGGACAGACGTATTACCAGCATTAGTCCCGAAACCGTCTACGTAGGAGAAACAATAAACTACATCAGAGGGAAGTCAGCAGCCAGTTTTGCAGTGTCATTGAAGTGTCAAGCGCGCGCCGAACCAAGTCACGGCTGTTGTTGGTGTGTAACCCGTGAGTTTGAACAGATAAATGCACGCTTTCGTACAGCTTTTACGGAATTATGGACTCCATCATTTTCCAAGTTCTAGAGCGTTTTTCGATAATACATAAATTACAAAATTTACAAAGGAATGATACAAGCGAGCCTTGTAGCTAGTTTCAGACAAACTGGAATGGTTTAATGTAAACTTTTATTTTACTGAAAGCGCGTCCGCATACTGACCTCAATAACTGTTGGTGTGCATGCATATATACTTACCTTGAAATTATCTCTCCGATAGAAATTAATCGATCCGGCTTTTGCATCTCCACGAGGTGCCGAGACTCCGGTCAAAATCACATGGTCATTCGCGCTAAAAGTAATCTCCGTCTGTTCGAAAAGGACCGGTAAATCTTTGATGGTGGAAACAGGACCCTTTGTCAGGGCCCGTGCATCCCATAGTTTGACCGTGTCATCCGTGCAACGACTGACCAGCTGGCGTGCATCCCAAGACCAAGCGATGCACGTAATGGTGCTGTTTGGTGCATGGGCATTCCGATTTAGCTGGCTCGTATTGACCAGAGGTTTACGGGTGTCCCACATTTGAATGGAACCGTCCTGACAGCCGGTTACAATGTGTTGACCGTCTCTGATAGGAATGGGGAGAAAGGGAAGACCTAACGTGAAGATATAGCGAAATTCGGAAAGAGACTAAACTCAGGTTCTTGAGTTAAATGTAAAATAACCCAAGAGTGGGTTGAAGGGAAGTTCAAATTACTCGAGAATAACAGACGAATCCGAAACAGGACTATTAAATGTTAACTTTGTAAAGAGAATCCAACAAGGTAACATTACACGACACATGTCCTGGACGATTTCACGGCATCTCAACTGAAATGTTACACTGGCTCTTCCTGGCTCAAGAAGACGAGCCGCCCAAGACCAATTTAGATCAAATCAGGCAAGCGATCGCCAGTACCTCTACGTAAAGAGTGGGGAATTCCTTTGTGTGAAACAGCCAACTGGGACATCTTGTAAACTGAGCAATGGTCTAAATGATACGAACAGAATGAATAAAACTATCTAAATAGTTGCGTGTAGAGGCCTTGGGATGAAAAACTGTTAATACCGTACAGTACTCACTTGGAATAGGAACAGGTGGTAGGAGTAACCTTACGTCCTTGAGCATTTCTCGGTCGGAGTACAGATTTGTGCGTCGGAATCTTGGTCTCGTTCAACAGTGTTTCGGCGTCGTTGATATCCCATATACGAAGTGTGCAGTCTTGCGAACAAGTCAGAAATTTGGATGAATCCAACGGGTGCCAACAACCCCAGTGCAGTCCATGGGTATGGCCTTTGGCGCTGGCCGGATCCGTGATATACTGAAAACCCTTGTTGGTAAAACACACCGGATCGCCATCCCTGGTAACAATTTGAGCCTGAGCGGAACCGGAAATGGCTAACAGGTACTCACCTGAAAATATTCACCAGAAAGAAGTGCATGATAAGAGATACGGTTAGATGATACGATGACTTACTTCTTCTACTGCAAACAAATTTTACGGACTCGTTTGAGTATGTTCCGAATTGATAACTGCTTGAGACTAGCCAAACCAAACGCATGCAACGGATAACATACTGATCGCTAGGTATTGTGCGCGAGGGGAATAACACTTCTAGCTCGGAGGACACCAACATCTGCATCCCGAGTTACAACCATTCTACATTATATCCAGTGTCACTGGATCTCGGAACGTTGTACTGAAGCCTAGTTCCTATTCTGTTTTTAGAGGGCTACAAAGCGTGTTGATGTATAAAGGATGAGAAACCATGCGTGAAGCTAATTAACGGCGATAGACACCGTAGACTTCAGGTTGTTTTCATAGGTACTGTAGATGGAATCAATCAGGGGATTACAGTGAAGAAATCAGTGTCCTGGTAGCTAGTAAAGGAATCCAGATATGATTTTGCTATTAAAATGAAACGCTGCTAATTCTTACCCCGTACCTGAGTACCAGTTTTAGGCATTTAGCAAATTGTGCTTTCCAATACCAATAGCATTTGGTTCGTAAGAGGCAGTGAGAATTGAGATAACCACGGACTCAATGGATTTTTCAGAGGGAATTCGTCGTGCATAAAGCAAATGAAGTATGAACTGAAAAGCTGGGAAGCACTGGACAGTTGTTTCAACCTAATTGAGTCCCATCAGTAGTGCGAATCCACCGACCCAACTGAGGATCGAACCCGGAACCTCACAGTTAGGACGCAAGCATGCCACCCACTCGGCCACCGGGCATCTGATCAGAACTTTTCATTTTCGATTTACACGATATAGCACAATCTATCTTTGCGAGTTTGTTGAGAGTATCGCGCCTCGCTGATCTCAGTGCTCGCCTCCGGGGTTATGACTCGGCTGGAAAATTTCACAACCTGACTAGCTGTTACAACCAGATCGAAACAGCTGTAGTGTTCTGCACCCTTTCAGTTCACGCTTCATTCGCTGTATACACGACGAATTTCTTCTTTGAAATTGAACTGTTCACTAGGCTAATGAGCGCCTGGGCTGAGTTCACTCATTTGACAATTCATGTCAGCAGTCACGCCCGAGTATGGTGAACATATTGACGTGATTCGTTTTTTACCCTACCGACTGAGGTGAATCATCGAGTTTGTTTATTCTCGTCTAAAGCTCACTCGATCGACGGTCAGGGGCATAACGTTCCCAGGTGGGAAGATCAATCAGAACCCATTCCATCGAAACCTTCATCTTCACTCGGCAACTCACTCAGAAGTGCTTTGTTTGTTTATGGGGAAAACAGTTCATTCTGGCTGGACGGGAATCGTGATGATCATGTTCTAATAGGTGACGGTCGAAGACCAAATCACATTATGGGGCTCTCCGTGGAATGCGATTGGTGGATTCACCTGGAGTTGCAACTGAACTTGAGAAGTTATAGTTCCGTAAATGGGAATAACTATATTCCTTATCCTTCAAAGATGAAACAAATATTTAGCTCTGTATGCCAAAGCATTGTTTGGGCCGCTGGATGTGCGACAGTGCTGATAATAGTGCAAAATTACATACTGCATTAATCTCGCTAATCAGTACTTATAAACGCATAAAGTCACCATTGTGCATAAAATAAATCAAAATATCATTTATCGGTCTACTGAAAAAGTAAGTGTATCCACATGCCCAAGTGAAAAAGTGGGGTATACACACTGAGGAATTGCCTAGTAAACAAACTTTGTCTAGCGATGAACAATTCGGAAAAAACGGCGATCATACATGAATAACCGCTAGACAGAGAGAAGGCAATGAAGACATTTGTTTGACAATACAGAAATACAGCATAGGCCTATTGTTTTACACGGACAATAATTAAAACTTTCTTACCACATCGCACATAATTGGAATCCTTGGTCCACATTTCGTTTTTATTATGTGATAGGAATTCGTCTTACGAGTTCGATTTTATGCGTGCCTCGAGGTCAATAGCTGTGGAGGGTGCTTCCCCCCCCCCCCCCCCCCCAGAAGAGAAGCTTACATTTTACAGCGGGAATTATCATCGACCAATAAACAAATAAAACTAACCAGTTGGGCTGAACTCCAAATGTTTTATCTGATGCTCCTCGCACGGCCGTATAGTTTTGAACGAACGACAGGTTGTGTCCATACCCCCGAAATCCCACAACCTAACGTCAAAATCCAATCCCCCGGTAGCGATTCTAGCGCCAGCAGGGTCAACCGTTAAAGCTGTCAGTGGTTTATTACCATGACTTAGTGTTAGCTCATCACAGATTGGCAAATGGTAAGAATTACGATCGTCCTCTGTCTCAACATCCGGTGTATCTTCCGGTGGGTCAGGTGCGTCACTGGTTTCCTGTTGGTTATCGTCATTTTCTTCTGTCTTTGGGCCCGTGTCATTTGTTTCCAGTGAACTACAACCACCTATGCAATAAAAAGTAAAATCAGGTGAAGTGGCGAAAACATACTCATTAAGGCATCGATATTCCGCGAGAGATTGCGCTCTTTAGCCAGTGAGTGAGCCTCCTCGAATATTTTAAAAAAGTCAAATTCTTTGGCTTTTGGTTTTATCTCTCCCATTCTACTTTGAATTCTACCTGAAAGCAAAAATATTGAATCGTGTGTGAATATGAAACCGGTTTAGATACAAGCATACGCGTCGTAATGAGGACTTTTTGTTTATTAAAGACCGAGTGTATCCAATGGTGACTCAGTCAGTCTGATACATGGTCACCTTTTATTACACATCTTAGTATATCAAATCAAGGAAAAACAGCATGATCCTATTGATTTGTTTCAGTACCCGACAAAACTGCACGCTAACACCGAAGGTGGCAAAGTACAAACTCATTCGTTCCCTCTAATCACTCCCCATAGGGCCTAAACGGAGCTCAATCATCATCATCGTACAGCGAAATACCGTGAAGCGAACTTCACTGACCGCTGCCAAACTCAATGCATACAAGGTTAGTGGTAAAATTTGAGGTGGACAGGGGTTGGATCTATTTTGAGGAAGGCAGAAGATGAGCCACTATGGTCAACACACAGTACGCAATCGAACTCTGCATACATACCGTTTCAAGCA